TCTCACCTCTTGCAAGGTCCCTCAGGCCTTCGATGAGATGGCGACTTTGGCACAGCTCAGTCAGGAGAAGTGTCGGTTTCCCACAGAAGATTTTTTCCGTCCGCGTCAGGTGATACTTTTACTCTCAGGTTGATACATCATATGCTTGATTGACCAGGCCTAGTTAGAAATCGATTCCGTCAAGATCTACTTGGGGTGTAAAATCAGATGCGTTTCAAGACAGGATTGTACTTCTACCATCTTCTACCCAAGATCGCAAATGACCTCAAACAGGTTTCAGAGGTTTTAGATGGTTTGTGGTGCCAAGCCTCCACCCAGGCATTTGGTTGTCCATCTCTGTTGGAGGGTAACCCCTTGAAAAGTTCCAAAGGATCTTTTTTTGAAAGGAACATTTAGCTAAAGGAATGCATGGTTTTCACTCCGCCCCCCAAAACGGATGGGTTTCCCTGGAAGAACCCAGGCACCCCGCCCTGGATCTCCTGGGCGAAGTCGCCGGAGCGCTCCGGCGAGGGCGACCGATCGAGCACCGGCGCCGGCGAGTCGGCGCACCGCAGGATGAAGCGGAGGATTGACGATGAATGTGTTCGAATGTGTCGACGGGGGATAGACAGGAAGTCACCAGGAAGTCACCGTGCAATGAATCTAATAGTGAATCCCCTTGAAGTTCAAGATGAAGATGATGTGATACTTGCCATTGAACATCCTGGCGTCTTATGAATGACGGACGCGCCTGGAGTTTGGACTTCGCCTTGAGAGGGCGGCGATTGGCTCCGTTGTGGAAAAAGGTGAGGCGGCCGTTCCTGCTGAGTCAGACACTGTGCATGAGGGATGGAACTGCCCTATGTTCCGACGCTATGAATGTCCCTGCCCGAAAGGGTTACAGTATACTTACTAAGTACATCATCAGAAACATGCTCACTCGACCGGAGCTTGGACAAGTCTTCCTTGCTTGGACTCACCGGAGACGTCTTCACGAGGCACAAGTTTGAGAACAAACAGGAGCAGCGAGACGAGCAGGCGTGACGTCGCCCCTGACGTCGCTGGTCGGTCTCGACCTCGGGAAGCCTGGTGGACCCTGAAAATGACGAGATTCCTCAATAAGGGGATGTCACATTGTCAAACGATTTTCCTGGCGGTGCCATGGGGCCCATGGGGCCCATGGGCTGGTCTATTGGGACATTAGAGTCATTAGAGGTCTTGCATCCTTTTTGGAGGTCTTGCGCTTGCGTGTGGACATCGCAGACTTTCACCTCAAGGAGTTTCTCAGCGCTCCGCTGGTCGGGAGTCCGAGGGCGTGTGAACGCCGTGGGCCGATCACTCGAAGGGCGGTGGGGTGCGGTGCATTGGAACATGGCTAGGTCCAGCGTGGGGGCTTTTGATGCAGTGTTCTCAAAAGCAGGAGTCCCAAGTGTGATAGAGACCAGCTCAGGATTGGAATACGAATACTCGATTGACCAGTGTTTTCAACATGTTCTGCCAAATATGTCCAGTGTCGGCCCCCAACGTCCCACCATGTTTTAATTAGGAGCAAAAACGCTACTAGGGGCTCCTGGCATCGCTACTAGGAGCAAGAAGCTACTAGGGGCTCCCAAGTTCCCCGCCCCGCTCCGTTCTACCGAACTTCCCAGTGCTTCACCGGACCGAGGAAGCCGCGTCGCTACCGAGCGCGGTGGAGCTGAGCGGCGGGGCGTTGTGTGGCGCTGAGGGCTTCGAACACACCCAACCACTGTGTGACGAAAAGGAACACGTTGATATTGGTGATCGAAATAAAACGGCGATAAAACATTTCAGAAACGGTATATAATATCACACCATGCAAACGGCCATGTTTTGAACATGCTGGTAAGTCCAAACAGGAGGTCTGATTGCTGGAGCCACATACCTGGATGGAGCACTTTGGGAATCTTCAACAATGACACCTCAGACAGAAGGGTGCCATCAGGTGGTTGGCTAGCTGCTGGAATAACGCATGAGCTGTCCATGGCTCCCATGGACAAGAAAGACTCGGTTCCTCCACAAAGACAGTTTGGATTGTGAGCGAACAATTTTTCTGTCGTGTAAACATGAATCAATGCAATGGGCCAGAAAGTTGTCCCCCAACCAAGGCCTGTTTTATTTGCAGTGCAGGGCACACTTTCCCATTCCATGTATGTGAACACAAGTGTACAAGTAGCCGCAAAAGGGGTGCAAATAGGACCTATCAAATTATCCAGTTCAGTTTTCAATGAAATCAGCAGCATTGGCTAGGCTAACCAACCACTTGGTGTCATAGAGACAGGCATTTCCACATGACCCGGAGCTTTCCCCAGGTCTGTTAGCAGCTCAGAAGCCTTTCTGGGACCCGCTGAACGTTTGCAGGCGGATTGAAACGTGGGCGTGAGAGGCGAATGGGCGGTATATACCTGGGCTCCAAGCTCCCAATGAGTGGGTTGCTGTATGTTGAGTGGGAATGTGCAGGTACAAATTGGATTCTACTTTTGCACAACATGTTGTTGTAATTTGTTGTATATATAATATATTATGTAATGCATGTGCATTTGCATTCACATATCATCAAATACCCACTTCAGAGCTTCAGCAGAACAGGACAATAGCATTCAATCTTTGTGATGGTCAGTTCTTGAGCCATGTTTCGGCAAAAGATGGCCCACCCATGGTTGTCTCTGATTCCACCCAGGTTTCGTTCATGTGAATTCCCCGCCTTCCGAAACGCCATCACATGAACGGACGGATCCCAGGAGCTCTGGCAATCTGCGGCGGCGTTCCAGGCAGTCTTGCAGTTTGTTGATTCACACGCCTTGGGGTTTTGGAGTCAGGGTTGAAGGCTTCAGGTTGATAAAGAACCAATTTAAATGCGGCAAGTTCAGAACCTCTAGTAAAGAAGTGGGATGAAGTGGGAAAACAACATGACATGATGGGCAAATTGGGAGAGATGCTCAAGCTGCCACTTCTAGAGTCTTTTTGTTCAAGTTTTTAACTGCGTGCAAAGTTCAAGAGAGGAAGCGCTCAAGAGCAGCAGATGGATAAAACAACAAGGGAAATGAAATGAAATGAACCATCTCCCCAAGGAAAAATGATTTCGGATCTGTTACTTCGCAAGTGGTGGAAACTGTGTTTGTTGATGTTTGTTGTGTCTGCCTGCTGAGCATGCTGCCCCCCCAAATAGATTGAACACGTTCGTTTTTGGAGCATGCATTCGAGCGGGAAAAACAGACTCGCGCACAATTTGGGTGGTGCACATTTTTTCTGTACCAGTGGGTGCACCAGATTTCATCATGTGAGCCATGTCACGCGCGCTTGGCTCCGCTTGAGGCTAGTGGGCCATGGCCTCCCTCCAGACTGGTGGCGTGTGCCAAGCATCTTTGCTCGGCCGCCCAGCTGCGGGCGCCCGCTGGCAGGAGGGGGAAGGCACTAATGTGAGCAGATTCACTGATTCACCATTGATTCATTGTTATCACCACCAGTATTGCCACCATATACAGTAGGAACTGCTACCTTGATCTACCTTGATCACCAGGAATTCTCACGATCACACTCACTCTATGTTACTCTGGTATAGTTTCCTCGTCATCGAGGACTCCTCGTTTCTTGGGGTCTTCAGGTCCGAAGAACGACACACAGAGCAGAGCGCCAAGCGGTCGAGTCCCTTCCCGTCGTTCTGTCCTTGCACGTCCCGGCGGTCGATCAGTCGAGGTGGCGGGGCCACTGATATCGCCTTGAGATCTCTCAAGGCGCAGTGGGGTGAATCGAAGCGGTGCCTGACATGACAAAAACCTGCATACACTAGGAGTGATGTTGAGTTCAATCAAGTGTATACTATATTATAGTCACTGGTTAGTTATTTTGATCTATACATTTATATATCTATTTATGTTAATCAGGTTATTTTGCACTATTTACTTTGTTTATACCTATGTATCAGAGATTTGACCGATCCATGTTTGGAGACGTTGTTCATCATGGCACATCATGTTTTATGTCGAAGACTTGTTCCTGTTTGTTTGAAACAGTGGCTGGAAAGGTGGGGGAGGGTGGAGCTGTGAAGGCTGATACCAGATGGCTTTGGAGAAGACAGTTGGAGAGGATTGGCCCAAATTCTGCTATTTTCCTCTGTCATATTCTACTGTGGTGGATCCAGATGCCAGGACGATGTCAAAGACTGAACATAATCCAGAAGCAGAATCTTGGCTTCCCCACCTGGTGGTGTTTCGGACCATGCAGATTCATCCCCCTGGCACCAGGCCTTCCCTGCCGAAGCTGGAAGCAAAGGCGGGCGCAGGCATTTTATTTTCTATCAGGTTAGGAGTTAGGAGCCTCCAAGTGGTGGAATTTTGGGAATGTGTGATTTGAACATATTTGAACACCTCTTGGAAAAAAGACACCTCTATGTGGAACCACTTTATGATAAAATTATATGTTTCTCAACTTCCTAAGAGCCTAAGAGGTGATTCGGGCATCGAGTCACCCAACTCGCACGAGTCACCGAACTACCCGCATCAGGTTTGGACGGCCCAAGGATTTTGGACCAGGTGGTCGCTATGTTTGGAAGGGGAAAGCACATTGCCGTCGCACTATAAAGGTTTGGGAGGGGTTGGGAACCGATGCGTAACGCTTCTCCGGCGTGTGCCATGCTTTTTGGGAAGTGCTTTGAGATGTTTTGTGGGGGTGTGGGGGAGAGTTTGTTATTGTTGTTTCATATTTTTCATACTGTATTTTTCTGGTTTTACATAATGTACAATTTCTTACCCTTTCGTTCACACCTCCTCTGGCGTCCTTCTGGTTGGTCACCATCCCAAGGACTCTGGTTGTCCATGTCGACAAGAATCCATCGAATAACGTGAGATTCAAGTTGCTGCAGTTGTTTGACTGTCTATATACCCGCTTGTTGTTTATTTTCAAACTATCTCTAAGTCTAACATCATTTATTCTATATACACTATACACTTGTTTGAGATCTTTACATTACCAGCTAGCTGCCTAGCCAAGTCGCAGGTGGAGTCATGGTGTGCGTGGCCACCTGTTGTCACCATCGCTGCGATGTTGACAGCTATGTGAACAGGCGGAGCATGGCGGGGCGGAGGGACAACGCGGAGCGCGCGGAGCCGGCGGTTGGAAGTTTGCGGTTCCGCACTGGCGGATGAACAGAGGGTTTCGGAGAGATTGGAGTTGTAAGTTTCTCTTTGTGTTAATTAACACAAGTCATTAAATGATATCAAATGACGAGATCCAGCAAGATGTGAAACAGTTTCAGGTTCTAGTCTAGTCCAGTTGGGTAGGTCTCTTCATTTTGAGACAGACCCATGTAGCAGCAGCAAGAGAAGACAGATTATATAACAGAAGATTAATTATGAGCATGAACATCCCGGTGGGTGAACAACTGCAACTTGCGTTGTTTGGGTATGAACTATGAACGTTACGAAAGCCAGCCTTCGTAGAAGGCGCTGGCGGAGTTGTGTTTGACGAACGAAGTGAGTAGTTAGGGGGTCTGGGGGGGGTGGCCCGCAAAAGGTACACGTAAACTCGGCACATGCTGGGGGAGGAGGGTGCGTCGAGGAAAGGTTTTTTGAGGTTGTGTTGGAGGTGATTGTTGAGGGGTGGTGGTGCAAGAAATGCAATTTGCATCACTTGCATCATCTGAATGGAAAGGTGTAGTTGGCACCTTGCCAGGTATAGAGACCCAGGGTAGCTATAGTGCAGCTACCAGGTATAGTACTTCAAGTTCCCTTTCCGTCAATCGCTCGATAACCTCTACACACGCACAGCAATCCACAGCTTTGAAGCCTCATGCGCGCGATACCTGGGAACAGAATTGT